ATAATCACAGTAGTTTAGTTTGCATACAGGGAACTTATAACAGTCTGCTGTAATGCTCATATGAAATTAAAACACTATCAAGGTAACTAAAGAGGAAGCTGGAAATCTATAATACAAGAGCTGGACTATCGAAAGATTGCTCTGATCTAAGCCACTCATTTTACAGACACAGAAATCGAGAGATTTCCCCAAGGTCACCTGATAATTAGTGGTAATGTGTCATTATTAAAATGCAGGTTTCATGAACTATCCAATAAGGGCTCACTCCAAGTTATTGACAGCTATGAAATATACTGGAAAGAAGCAGACGCCAAGCCAAAAAGCTTCAGAGCTCATTTTGTAAATGCACAGATTCCTTAACTATGCATGAGTATGCTGATCCCTTCAGTTCTTCGTATCATCAGGAAAGAAAGGACCACAATCTATCTTGTGGAAGAGTCCACCTAAAACTACTTCTGACTAACTGTTGAGAGTAATTCCTCACTCTCTTTTGACAAAGTGTCTACCTGCTCCACGGCTCTCCCTCAAAGACACAATATAATGAAAAATGCCTGGATCCCCAAACGGTTTTGTGAGTAGAATTATCTCACCAGCCTAGCCTACTTGGACTGTTAGATGAAGAAAAAAAATTATGTATATCTTACACCATCTTCTAGTCTCTTTGGGTAATGAGACTTTATCCTAAATACTATAATCTGAAAACCAGAAAAGAAACTGAAGGACATTTTAAAAACAGCCAATGCATTTGCTCTCTTCTCTTCTTGATCTGTGAATTCTGGCAAATCAACAGAATTCACAGTCGAGAATAAACCACGTGTGACCCAAGAACATCACCAGGGAAGAACCTTCATTCTTGATACCAAAGAACAGAACAGTCTTTTGATCATTTTTAGGTCATATTTATCTCATCTGTCACATTTATCTAACTGACAAGAGAAAAAATAACATTAACTCAAATTATTGCTCCATAAGCAACCAAAAGGATAGGCAGAAAGTGGGCTAGACTTTCACGGTAGTGATTCTCACTAAATGTACCAAAAAAAATAACTTATTAAGATAATTCTGTTTTCTAACTGAGGTACCTAGACCAGACCATTTTTTAGGCCATTTTCAACACTGTCTGTGATTTGTAAATATTTATAAAACATTTTATTAGAATGAAAAATGAGTGCTGTCTAGAAGAAATAATAAAAACATTCTTTAAAAATAAGCAGTGTCAACTCTTTATGAAAAATACAGAATGTGGAATACTACACACACACACACACACACACACACACACACACACACACACACACATGCATGTGCACAGATGCCCTAGCTTAATCCTAGTCATAGCCATGAGTAGCTACAAATATTTACCAGCTAATTACCAATATTATTATTTTTGTTCTGAGCACATGTATGCTATGAGTATAAGGAAGAGAATTCGGTGAATGAAAGCTTCCAATTCTGAGTTTCCGTGAAAACTTGAGTTTGAAGGAACTAGGTCAAATTGACCCTTCTTTGTTCAGACCAGTCAAAAACCTGATGTAATCATGGCAACAGTCACAAAAGAGGGAGCACAAATGTAAATAGTTTTCAAATGGGAATACTCACGTGTTCTAGACTGGTGTGTGCCCAACTACTCAAAATGAGGACAGCGTGTCTCTCAAAGGGCCCTGACAAAGATCATCTTCCCCTCCCAACCTCCACCACCAAAATACATCCAGACAACCCTGAAGTTCAAGGGGGATGAATATAAAGATTTAAAGAATGAAAGCAAGTGAGAGAAGTTTAAGACAAAGTAAAAGAGAAACTTTGAGAACTCACCCAGGACCTAATTTTTTATTGGCTGCCACATTAACTCCACAGTCAACAACAAAAGGGGATTGAGCACACTGGCCCTAGAGATAGAGGGTGAAAAGACACTTGTCCTCATGGCCCTGACTCTCTCCTGGGGGAGACAGACAGCAAAAAGTAAACGAGTAACCAGGCTAATCACAGACTGTACACGAGTTGGGCACAGTGGCTCATGCCTGTAATCCCAGCACTTTGGGAGGTCAAAGCAGAAGGATTGCTTGAGGCCAGGAGTTCAAGATCAACCTAGACAATATAGTGAGACCTTGTATCTACATTAAAAAAAAAAAAAAAAAAGCCAGGCATGGTGGCATGCAGCTGTAGTCCCAGTTATTCAGGAGGCTGAAGTGGAAGGATGGCCTGAGCCATGATCATCGTGATCATACCACTGCAACCCTGCCTGGGCAGCAGAGTGAGAGTCTGACTCAAAAAATTAAAAAAAAAAAAATCATTCAGTGTAGGGATATGACAAGGGGCAGGGACGAAGAGCCACTGCAATGTAGGTGGTCAGGAAAACTCTTTCTCAGGTAGTGACTGTTGAGCTGAGTGCCAGAAGAGAAGGGGCAAGACAAGCAACCAGCTAGGGGAAGAAAGGCCTAGGTTGCCCTGGGCCTGCAGCATGAGATGTGAAGGGGAGAGGAGCTGAAACTCTGACTAGTCACATCCAGGTCTACAAGAACACGGAACCACAGGGCCCTTCTGGCTTCTCTAATGGAGCATGGCCTCCCGCCAAAAAAAAATCATCCAGTGACACATTCCCTAAATTCAGGAAGCTGAGGGAAAGTGGGTTGGGAAAAATAAAAAAGAAGAAAAATACCCATTAAATTATACCCTCCATGCTAAAAAGACAAGTAGGCTCAGAAAAGTTAAGTGGCTTGCACACAGTAGTACAGCTCTTAAGAGGATGGGCTAGGAATATTTGACTGATACATTCAGTTTCCTTCATTTCACCATGCAATTTTTTTCATTTTTCAACATTAACAAAAGCTTTTGACACAGGTTATAAGGTTACACTATTAAGATCCGTGTGAACCGAGTATTTTTCGTTTATGATATAGACTAAGGCGCAAGTGATCTACTGACAGAACATGTTTCCTTGTACAATTACTAAAAAAGAATTTCTCCTTTTTTTTTTTTTTTTTAAAATCAGGATCCTCATTTTGTCGCCCAAGCTGAAGTGCAGTGGCATGATCACAGCTCACTGCAACCTCCAACTTCTGGACTCAAGTGATCCTCCCACCTCAGCTTCTCAAGTAGCTGGGACTACAAACATGTGCCACCACACTCAGCTAATTTTTTGATGTTTTGTAAAGACAAGGTCTCACTACATTGCCCAGGCTGCTCTGGAACTGCTGGACTCAAGCGATCCTCCTGCCTTGGCCTCCCAAAGTGCTGGGATTACAGGTGTGAACCATCGCACCCAGCCTAATTTCTCTTCTTTATAAATTGATGCCAATTACTATTTCAAAGCAATCTGTGTATGACCTTCTAAATGTGTCATTCAAAGCGCCAAAATATAGAAGCTCAAATGTCCAACAATACAGTCAAAATTGATAATAATTCAGAAATATGGCAAAAGGCTTCTTAACAATTTTAAGTGATAAGTATGTAGACTCCTTATACATGGAAACATAAAATTAATTGATATTACCTTAATTAATTTAATATCAAACAAAATAAGCAGAGCACAACATAGTATATACAGACTGGTTGCAATTTTGTGATAAAAAAACATACACTTATCAACAAAAACGAGAAATAAATTGAAAGGAATATAATAAAGATAGGGTCTTTTTCATTTAAAGTTGCTTAAGTTCATATAATAAACATATAAGTCACGTTTCCAAAAGAAAACAGTGTTAAAGAAATCAGTGTCTTAAAAGATCAACTTTCCTAGATCTATTTAGAACACACATGCTCATATTCTCTTCATCTTTTGCAATTTTCAAAGTACAAATATCATTAGAGATTTTCTTATTTCAACTCAGTTTAGATACTTGAGATGTGTGTTACTGAGCATTGACACAATGGAAAAAGTTAGTGCAAAGGTGATTCCTATAAACAAATATAGTATAAACATTGAACACCATCTAAATTTTTCTGCAGAGGTTGTAACCCTAGAGAATTGTTGCAAAACAAACCTTCTTTTCTCCCATCCTGCTATCTAGGGTATTAAAATCCTACACTGATAATTTACTTTTTCCAAAATTATTAAAGGAGTTTCACTAAAAGCAATCATTAATGGAGTTGTAAAATGTTTCCTACATCATATTGTGAGCCTGACAACACTTTAGTTTTTCAAAACCATCAGCACAGTATGGGATCCACTATTCTATTCTGATATACAAGGATTCTGCAAAGGATCTGCTGCTTCTCCTTGTACATAAGAATCTGAAAAATTTTGGATTGATTACCCATTGCCGAGAAAACAGTGATCTGTTTAAGATTAACTATTAAGTATACATACCAAATGACTCTAGAATATCATTTAACTCCAATTCAAGATGAATGGGAGAAAAATAAAAAAGAAGAAATGCTGTATAGAAAAAAATCTAATTCAATTTAAGTTGAATTTCCTAGACCTGCTATTATGTCTATGTTATTAAAAAATATTACTTATGTGATAAAGAGACAATATAACAAATCTAAGTAACAGACTCTGAGGCTGTCCAACCAAAAATGTTATAACAATAAAAGACCATACGTTCATGATTAATATCTGAGATCTGCTTCAAAAGAATATGGAGGAAAAGAGAAAGCGGGGGAATGGGTGAGTAAGCTTAACAAGATTGGCCAGAAGTTAATTGTGGAAGCTGAGTGATGGGTACAGGGTCTTCATTATATTATTTTCTTGACTTTTGTGTATGTTTAAAACTGTCCATAGTAAAGAGGTTTTTAAAAATTATATCTTTAGAATGGCTTTAATTCTGGAAGTAGAAACACGCGTGATGCACAAAGTACACAGAAGCTTAGAGTGAATCAGAAAATGAGAATTATCATCTTGCTTCATTGTTATAAGACAATCTGACTTTTAATAGCATCCATTGTTAACTTCCTTTTTGAACAAGGAAGTTTAAGCATGTCCTCAATGGTGTATTTAAGTAGACTTCATACATAGCACATTTTATAAAGGGTAACCATGTCCTAAAGTCAGAACATACCAGGAGTATCATAGGCCTCTTCCAAGTTGTTAATCCTATGATTCCAGAGAGTATCACCTGTAATAATAAGCAGTATCATAAATATAGAAAATGGAACAATTCCAATAAATTAATTTCCAGTCTCAAAAGTATACACTTGTTTAAAAATACTGAAATTTCAAAGCATTAAATTTCAAAACATTTAATATTCCTGCTAATGACATGAACCCTTGTAAACCTCTTTGGACTATCTTTCACTTCTGAGCCCCCGAAGTCTTTTCATTGACTGTATTTTTTTTTTTTAATGCCAATTAAGAACACACAGACAGAAATTAGCCTCTCCTCTGGTCAGCGAAGGATTCAGTATTTCTGATCTAAAATCCCCACTCCCAGTAGTGCCCAGTCTGTTGTCAGCCTCATGAGACACACATCTAGTCACATCCCTCCCCTTGCTAGGTACCCATCCCTCGTGGGACAGGTTGAGTCCTCGAAATGTGAACCAAGGCCCTTCCAGATCTTTCCCTGCCCACCCTCAATGCTGGTTTCCATGTTCTCCTTCCTCTCTACCACACACCTTTCCTCCTTCAGACCAGCCAGGCTCTAGACATTCCTGGGCTATGTGCTCTTTTTTCTTTGTTGAAGAGCTCTGTTTTCCCAATTGTTGTCCTAGATACCCAAGAACTCCTACTTATCCTGCAAGGCCCCATTTATAGTCACTGCCTCTGAGAAGCCTTCACTGATTCCACCACCTCACACTCCTAGAAGCTCTCTGCACATAACTGTTTTTTTCAAAAATTCCCAGTTGTAATATATTTCCGTATTACCCACTAACAGGGAACTCCTATCTTGTCTCTCTGAATCCCCAGCTCCCAGCATAGTGTAGGCCACCAGGTTGGCAACTGTTAAACGTTCCTGAGCAATTATTCCACAAAGTGGGAGGAACAACAGTGAGACAGAGCTTGTGCTGCAAATGACACTTCAATAAACAACAACCCAAAACCTCAGTAAAGAAAAAACCTGTATTTTGCCAAAACATAAGCTGGAAACCGAGGTCAGCCCTCCGGATAACACAGCTCGCTATGCAATTGGGGAAGAATAATCAAGTAATTATTCAGACCAGGGTGTTCTGATGTCATTTGAGCACTTTTACCTTTGTGTGATAAAGTGTCCCTGCTGAATGCAGTTAGGAAGATTTCCCTTCACACACACCTCTTACTTGCAACAACCCCTCAAATGCACCAATTCACAGTCACCGTTTATTAACTATGAATCAGTAAGGATTTGACAGTCACTTCAACTTCAAAGCACACAGGCCTGCTTGGAATACCCTATTCTTACTAGTTGAGAGTAATCACTCCACAGCATCAAACCAGCACAGGACAAGTCTATCCACTTGTAGCAAGGACCCAAGACCACGTATAGGCAGGTAGATGGCAATTTCTTTGCTTAAATGTACTCCTATCTGCCTACTCACCAGGCACTATATCCTCGCAATCCCCTTAAATCCAATAAGATATTTCCTCACCCTGAATATGTGGGTTTGTGTGTCTATGTACGTGGGCCGTGCTTGTATGTGAGTGTGTTTGTGTGTGTCCGCCTATGTGTGTGCTGACTGCCTGTCTACTTTGCTGTCTACTGGACTTTGCTGAGGAAATGCAATCTATTCTTGTGAAAACATAACTGAAAATTTGACTGCCCTTGGGGGAAACACAAACTGCCCACTTCAATAAAAATAAATGTGACTTGAATTATCAGTCAGTGTTTGATATTTATGCCACCAGTCTCCATTAATACAGAACTCTGTGGTTCAGCTTTTTGGCATGTATTTTTTTTTTTTCCATGAAAACAATATTCATAAGGGGAAGTATACAGCCTGGGTCATAAAAGCCTATAAAGTCGTGATAGCGCCTAAACTATACTCCCCACCTTCCCTATCCAGTCATGTCTCCCCACCCTCTGCCATGTTAACAATTTAGCATGCTTACGTGTTTTCCATATGTATTTTTTTATAAATTCTTATTATTGTACACATGTGTATATATATATATATATATATATATATATATATATATATATATACACACAAACGCACAGGAGGATGATTTTTACCCCCCAAAAAATCGATGCTAAAAGATATACTTTTCCTACCTCTTCCTTTTCTCTCTCAATACATACTTAGAAACCTCTTCACGTCCACAAATAGCTCTAATTCATTTCAGATTAATAGCGATATAGGTTCCATTGTGTGGCTGCACCTAACATAGTCAATCATTTCCAAATTTATGGGCATTCGTTCTAGTTCAAGTGTTTTGCTTTCATAAACAATGCTGACATAAACATCCATGAACATATATATTTAAAAACAACGGCTTTTCTTTCTCTGGATAAAGTCCCAGGAGCAGAGTTTTTAAGTCGAAAGGTCTTTATTTATTTATTTTAATAGATCATGACAGATACAACTGTCATTCCAAATAAAGGCTCCCTGAGACCAAAAAAAAGCTAAGCTATTTTTATTTCTTCCTTTAGGGAGTAGTTTTTTTGTTGTTGGTTTTTTTGTTTGTTTGTTTGTTTGTTTGCCTGTAGTAGCAACAAACTATAGAAAATGTAATTTCAAAAATAAGTACAAAATGTACACAACAAAGATACTTAAGACTTCAGTGGGGGAAAAATAGAACGTTGAGCAATATTAAATGAAGACCCAAATAAGTCAAGACATATAACAGGTTTGTGAAGTGGAAGACAAACTATTGAAAGAGGTCATTTGCATTTGAATTGTTTTTTAAACTCAGCACACACCCAAGTTAAATCCCAACAGGACTGTTGTAAACCACTCTCCTTTCTAGGGATGCCTTAAGAAGCTACATCCCAGTTCCAGACTGGAGTTACAATTGCATCCTCCTCCTTCCTAAGCCCTGCAACAGAGGCACACACCTACTTTTACCAAACTCTGCCTCTCATCAAAGTCCTAAAGCATCTGGATTGAGTGGTGACAGAGAGAAAGACAAATAGGAAGTAGGGCTGGATGGCTGGAAGCCTCTGGAATGGTGGTGGGAATAGTTGGGGATGAAGATTTTAAGAGCTGGAGACTTAAACGACTAGTGCTCATGTTTCATCTGAAGGAGGGATATAACTCTCACGCACAGGATAAGGGGTTGGGGAGGGGAAAAAAGAAGGAAGCATGATATTCAACTCCACCACCTCCCTCGGTGGCAGGAGTATCTGGAGCCCATCAGAAGGAGGTCAAGAAGGTCCCTCCACCATGGCCCTTCATGACTCCAATGACAGTATAATGCTATTACATGTTTCACTGTTTACCTCATAAAGGCTTGGACCTGTGAGTATTCACTCAAGTATCACTAAGGGCTTCTAGAAGGCACTCAGCCAGTCGTGGCAAGAGTCAGTGAATGAATGAATGAAGATCAGAAATTGGAAATGAACTTGCTCACAGACAACGAGGTAAATAAACCTAAACACATTTTTCATCCCCTGCGCTTCTTAAAAGTATACACTAGCAGCAAAAAGCTATTCCATCAGCATTCCTTCCACCCCGCGCAAGATGCAACCTGCCCTAAATGAACAGGAAAGAACTAATTTTCTAACACCAAACTATCTCTATATCATTATAATGAGAGTTAGTACAATTTCTGTTTCACTCACTTGTAAACCCATTCCCCGTAGCTTATAGGAAAAAAGCAGAGTTCTTTTTTTTTCTGATATTGCAAAGACCTGAGATACTGCAGTCGAGAGTCATTGTAACCCACCATATATGGTTAATGTGTCTTAATTTTCCAGCTTAAAAATCAAATCATTAAGATCAAAAGCTTATAATTCTACTGCCCTATTTTCCTTTGCTAATCCATTAACATGCCTTAGGACAAAAATGTTCTGGATCATTTGTCAAAAGCTGCTCTATCTAAACAAAGAGATAAAAAGAGCCATGTTGTAAACTCCCCATGTTTACCTTATAAATAAGCAGAAAACGATGAATCAAACCTCTCAACAACCTACTTTACCCTATAGCTTTTACATAGGCAACTGGGGGGAAAAAGGGGTTGTGTGTGTATGTGTGTGTGTGTGCGTGTGTGTGTGAGAGAGAGAGAGAGAGAGAGAGAGAGAGAGAGAAATATTTTTCCGTATCTGTCTAGCTTGACTCATTCAAAAAACTGAGAAAATGTGCAACTAGGTATTTCTATCAAATACGTGATGGTTACTATAATGTCCTATGAAAAACTGGTCCATTCACTTTATTTGAATTAAATATTGCCTTGCTGTTTAAAAAAACAGGACCAGGTGCAGCGGCTCACACTTGTAATCCCAATACGTTGAGGGGACAAGGTGGGAGGATCGTTTGGGCCCAGGAGTTCAAGAACAGCCTAGGCAACATATCGAGACTTAGCTCTTCAAAAAAATTAACCAGGCATGGTGACGAGTGCCTGCAGTCTCAGCTACTCAGGAGGTTGAGGCAAAAGGACTGCCTGAGCCCAGAAGGTAGAATCTGCGATGAGCTGTGATCATGTCACTGTACTTTAGCCTGGGCGATGGAGTGAGGCTCTGGCTTTAAAAAAACAAAAACAAAACAAACAAACAAAACACCATTGATAGAAGTTCTAATACATTCCAGGCCTGGTGCTGGGATCCAGCAGCAAAGCACTTTCCTATATGTTCTCTAATTACACACTCACAAAATCAATTCTGAGGCAGGAATCATCCCATCTACTTTACAGATGAGTAACTGAGGCTGGGGAACTCAATGACTGGCTGAAGGAGCAGAACTTATAAATGGGACTCTATTGTTATGGAAAATAAAGGGCCAAAGAAAATCAATAAGGTTCATCTCAAAAGTTACATTTAAAATGCCCCTTGAATATTAAAGTAGCTTTTGACTACTATGATAGAAAAAATATATTTACCATTATTTAACTGGTGGAGACTTCAGAATTTCTATCCATTTCTGCTTTGGCCCATTCATTCTCTTTCTATAGTTAGTCACTGCAATTTTTTAAAAAATGTTTACACTAAAGTTCACCAATGTCTGTCTCTTTATATAAAAGTGGAATCTTGCCAAAGAGTAAAGGAATCA